GATTAGACTTGACGGCAAAATAGAATAATGCATCAGCAACTAACATCTCTTGCTAATCCCATTTCGTTTGGGTAATTGTGTCAACATTTTTATCCAAAATATCTCTGTGTTTGACTTATTTCTTAACAAAAAATGTCTTAGTTCATGCATCTGTCCCGTTAATGCTTCAGCTGATACATGTCCAATTGAATCAAATCAGAAAGTATTATTACTTCCTTTTAATTTCTTTTTTAGGACAGTTTGAACACTCCTTGACTAAATTTACGAGATATTTGTCACCCTTTACTAGAAATATGTATTAGATAACTATTGTTCACTAAGCGTAGGACAATAAGTCACCAAGTAATATTATATTTGATACCTCATGATTCTTAATCTACTTTATTTCAGCTTACATATATTCTTCTTTAATAACTTTATTGTATCAGATGCATTATTATCAACTACAAAATGATACATTATGTAAGTTATACATATCTTTCAAGGCAAACAATACAATACTTATCAATTTAAACGAGATACATAAATAGTAATGTATCATGCACTAATTTTTTAGATATGATACGTAAATTCAAATTTATACTAAATGTATCAATTACATAACAACTACCACACAGTAATATATCGATCTCAAATCTAACATCTTATGTACAACAATTATTTATTTAATGTATCTAGTATAAATACAATACTTATCAATTTAAATAAGATACATAAATAGTAAAATGCTAAGTAGCAAAGATATTCATGATGTATCTTCTCAATTTTTTCGACAATTTTGAATCAAAATTGAAAGGATCTTCAATAAACTAGGAGAAGAATTTTGAATCTCAAAATTTTCAATAATTTTGAATCAAAATTGAAAGGATCTTCGCTGAACTAGAAGAAGAAAGAATCTTGAATCTCAATTTTTTTGATAATCTTGAATCAAAATTGAAAGGATCTTCGATGAACTTGAAGATTCAAAAGGATATCGTCCAACAACAATTCCATCAATTTTGTATCCTTCATAACTTACCTCAATTGCCCAAAATTGCGACAAAAGTTTTTGAATCAAATCTGAAAGGTTTCTTCGTTGAACGGAGAGAGCAAATTGAAATTTTGAATTTCTTCATTTTATTAGGATTTGCCTCTGTATGATCGAGAGTAAGAAGAAACATAAGCGTAATTTATGGGAATTAATTAATTTTCATATTTTATTCCCATTTTAGCAGATTTTTCTTGTATTATAATTTATGTATTTGGATGGTGACTTATGTATCCGGAAGGTACAAATTTTAAGGGATTATTGTAATTAGAAAATAAGTAGGAATAAGATGCAATTTACTTTTTACACTATGAGATTTATGTAAGTTATAAAAAGAGAAGCCTAAAGCGGATCTATGTGTTGAGTTGAGACTTGAGGGAAAAGTCCAAGCGATAAATCACGAAAGTGGACTTACCAAAGTCGGACTCTAATACCATATATAAAAGAATATGAACATCCAACTCAAAACCTAAAGATATTCAACGGAATGACTCTAGACATTTTTTGGGTCCCTTACACAAACGATGAAGGACATGTATATTTCTCTATCACAATTCACACATTGCATACAAAATTTACCTTTGATACTTGAGAATCCTCAAATTAAAGTATAAGTTCTTTTTACTTATCATGTGAAATAAATATCTCCCTACTTAGATGTCTAGTAGTTCTCAAAAATAATTCAATCGATAGGATTTAAACTTTATTTGATTTTTAAATATATCATTTGACACTTAATTATCTAGCTGGAAGGAAACTTTTGTCTTGAGTAAGGGATTTCTCCGCGTAAGATCCGTAGCAAAACTATGAATCAAAAATCGATAGTATGTCAAACCATATTATATTTAATTAAAACGTAGGGCGATTGCAATTGTGAGAAGAAAGAATAAATGCATGAAAAAGATCAAGTTGTTATAAATGTACATGTTCATGTCAACACCTAACAAGTACTTTATGGTGTAGAGAGAAAGATAAGTTATAGTAGGGTATGGTATAATAAATATGTTGTACCTTATTATTATCGTCCTTTTTTTCATCAAAACAGTGCACATGGAAGCCCTTTAATTCTCAGCCTCTTACCAATTCCTAATTAGCACAAATTGCCGACGTGGATTTCAAATTCAGCATGTGATTTGGGATTTCCCATATGCTGCCACGTGCTATTTTTTCTAATGCCGACATATATTCAGAAATATTGTTTCTTCTGTTAGCTCAAATTCTCAAAATACAGTATTCTTGATCTTTTCTATTTTATTTTTATTTTTTAAATAAAATAATTAATTAAGTTTTTACCCCCCTCAAGTTGTTGCATATTTGGGTCCAATTCCAGAAATTTATCATGTGTCCTGTTCCTCACTCAAATATCAAAATCAAAGAGTACTGAGAAATTAAAGATATGAAATCAATATAAAATCACGCCAAGAATTGTAAGAATGAGAGCCAAAATGAAATAAGCCATGATTTTATTTATGATAAAAAGAAGAAGAAGAAGAGGTTATGGTTATTATCATTCATAAAAATAATTTATTGGACTAGTAACCTGAAAAATGAAATAAATTATACTCTATCATATAACACGTTGAAAATATCGATGAATTAAATCAATCAAACACAGTTTGTAGGATTATTAAATTCGTTTCATTGATATATGATTATGAAACATGAATTGTATAGAAATAATCACAGTGTATGATCACGTATTTGTTACAAAAGTTTGTTCTTATTTTTTTGAGAAAAACATGATCAATAGAATCCTTTCTAGAGAACTCGAGAGAATGAAAGAAAAAAAAAGGATAAATTTCTATAAAGTTTTCAAGAGAGAATTACTTACGGGAAGTTTCTTATGATCTTCTTCTTTTTACAAAAAAAATTAAATATATAATTTATCTCCTTAATACTATTTCGAATTGATCGACGTGGATGACCCTATTCAATTTCCTTGAGATATATTGTGTGTAAAAAATATTTATCTTGTTAGTAAAATCAAGTTAGGTTTCTACAACCATTGAGATATTATAGGTTGACCAATAATGCCAAAATGAAATGATTGTTATCTTGATTATTAATAGTAATAAATTGTAACGTCTTTTTATATATATGAGTGATGTGCAAAGCAACTGTTTTTTTTGTTTTATTTTACTTCTTTTTTTTTTTTACAAAAAGGGGGATTTGCCCCCTTCCTACCCATGCTAAAAACCCTTCCAAGCAACAGTAATATGGCAAGATATGGAAATAATTGACATTTGTTTTTAAAAGATAAAATGTATTTCTCTGATTAAATTGTGAGCCGCGTGTTCTTCTTCTATGCATAAACATTCAATCCTTTACTACCATGCCATTTTTTTCTTATAATTTTTATATTTCCAATTATGTCCTTCTTTTCATTATAAAAATATCCAATCTTTCTCTACTGCAGAATATACTTAGCCACCTCCACTTCTCAATTTCTTCTTTGTTTTCCCTTATCTGGTACGTCACTTCCTTCTTATTTTTGTTTCCTAAATAAGTTATTACTTACATGATAAAATTCTTTATAATTACATGATTCTTATAATCTCTTTTTCTGCATTGCCATGCAAGTAGCTAGCCATGTACATAAACAAAAACAATTGTTATATACATTAACAAAGAGTGTTAAACTCTTTATCAATATTAGTTAATTGCTATTGTATACAATGTCACTAATGATCTTTAAAAAAACATATTTAGCGACAATTGAGGTATTGACATCTATTCATTGATGATAAAGATCATTTTTGATGTAATGCTAGTTACTTCCCTTCTTCTTTTTCCCCCTAATTAATCACTAATCTTTATATGCTTGTTTTGAATTTTTCATATTTTGTTACACAGGACATTAAATATACTAGGGAAAAATTATGGTGAAGTCTACAAACTTCTCACAGCAGGCAAACCAAGTAAGAAACAATGATTAATTACACCAAACTTTATACTTCTGTTAAATCCTTTTTGCTTCCGTTTAACTTCTGAGTTTTTTTAGGATATAAAAAACACACAAGAAAGTGAAGAGAATTTTTTATTTGATCAAGCTAGCTGTCAAGTTGTAACTTCTTGGCCATATTTTAGTACAAGATTGTATTAGTGTATCAAACTAGTTGTATGCTAATTCGATCCCAAGAGAAGAGCTTTTACTTGAGATATGATCATATGACTTAGGTACTCTAGCAGTATTGAAACGTAAATTTGATTAACAACAAGTACGTAATTTTTTCATTGAAATTATATTCTATATTGTATATATATGCTTTGACCAAGCTGGAATTTCTATAATTATTTTCTTAATTCTGATCGAACTTGCATAGTGGAAGTACTGATAGTACAAGTCAATTAAATTGGGAAATGAAAATTCAATGACTAGTAAGTGTACTTTCCTGCACCTTCTCAGCTTATGTACGGTAAAGGATCTGTTTAAATCTCTACCATACCTCAAGGTTACAAAGTTACCTTGCACTAACTAGATTCATCGATCAGTACAATATTATACATATTATTGTGAATCATGTTGGGCCAGATCACCACAGGTGTTACTCAAGAGGTGTCTGAATAATGAACACGTCTTTTTAAAATAAAAATCCCCTACCTACCTAACTTCCTACATTGGGAATTAAGAGTGTATTCAATGGTACGGACTTCAAGGAAAACGGAATCGTTTAATTAGGAACAAGTTATTTTTACAATAATTAGTTATTTCATCATATATATATGAGATAATTTATCACATTACTAAAATATAAATGATGGTATAAATAATTTCAGACTTGTTTAATATCTCTAATTAAAAGCATGATAAAATAATTCTGCATTTTACCACTAAAATTATTATATTTTATATCTCGACTTCTTTTAAGACATTAAGCATATTTGTACACATGAGTTGTTTGTGGCAAACCATGTAAACCAATTACTATATCATATGCTTGAATAATTTAAAATTAATTTTGATATAATGCAAATGGCCGGGTACCGGGTTTGTTGGTCGGTAGCTGCTATTTGTCTCCACGGTCATTGATAAAACATCAATCACCTAAGAATTATATTGAATCAGAAACTTCACTAGCAATATACATCATAACCTTTAATTTTATTTTCCTCTTCTATTTTACTAATTACCAAAGATTAACATCTTATTCTCTTTGCAAGAACTTCTGGTCATAAAAACTATGAAATGATGTTATTTCATTTAAAAGTTAGAACGAACATTCTTTTTATTTTTACTACTAACAATTATTTTCTTTTTCCAGAAAATAAATAGGAGGGAAGAAGAATCAGCTGATCCTCCTTTTGAAGAGACATATAAGAAACTTTTCGATGAGATAAGAATTGGAAAGGCTACTTCAAAAATGAGAAACTACCAAAACCTGTTTGTGGTGGAAGAATGTGAATTGCCATTAATAGATCTTGAGCAACTAAAGGGAAGAGAATTTGAGAGAGAAGAATGCAAGAAAAAGATAGCACAGGCTTCACAAGAATGGGGTTTTTTCCAAGTAGTAAACCATGGAATATCACAGGATGTATTGTTGAAAATGAGGAAGGAACAAATGAAGCTTTTCAAAAAGCCATTTCATGAGAAAATGAATGACAAACAACTTAATTTCTCTGCAGGGAGTTACCGCTGGGGAACTCCTTCAGCTACTTGTCTTCAACAACTTTCTTGGTCTGAAGCTTTTCATGTACCTCTCACTGATATCTCCAATTCAATTCATCATCCTACAACCCTCAGGTACTAACTAAAATTACCATCTTCAAATATCTCACTCCCTTCCTTATAATTTGAGACTCTTGTATATACTTGCTAAGAAAATAAAAAAAATTGAATCTTGTGATCATTTTATATTAAAGACATGTAGCCTTAATCATGTTTAAATTAAAGAGTTTTCAGACAAAAGAAAAGATTTTTTTTTTTTAAAACGGACTAAAATGGTGTACCAAAATGTCCTTGTGGCTATAGACATGTGTTGAGAGTTGACGTTAAAATAAGAAAGAGAATTTTTTTTATACGGACTAAAAAGTGAAGTAGGATAAACAACTTAAAACGAAGGAAAATGATTTAGCAAAAGTAGTGTGTTTTATTTATTCGGAGTGAATGAATTGTAAACTAAAAACATCATATAATATAAATCCGAGGAAGTTATGATGGGTCGGAGTAGTTGGCTGCCGATAATGTTCAAAAGTAGGTTTAGAATTGACAAGATTTTAATTCTGGATTGTAAACTAAAAACATATTTTTATTTTTCTTATATACTCATATAAGTAGGTTCCTACTTTTAGAAACTTTAATTTGGGATCTGCAGACTTAGAGAATCTTGTTTTGGACCAGGTGATAACATTGAGTCCGGAGGGCAAAAAAATTTGTCAAAAATTTCAAAAGGGCATATCAAATTTTTTTAAAACTAAAAGGGCAAAATCGCTCCTGACGAAGCGATTTCCTTTTGACACAATGACGAAAAATCGCTGCCCTAGCAGCGATTTTGTAAAAAAGAAAAATAATAATTAAAAATCGTTGCTGTGGCAGCAATTTTAAGTCAAATTTTTTTTTCCTTACACATCGCTGCAGCGTTTTTCATGCCTAGTGCTATTATTTTCATGCCTATTATTAATTATTAATAATATAAAAATAATAAACAAGACGGACAGTATACTCAATAAAATTGTTTAAGCATGAGGAAAATTGAATTATATATCATAAATAATAATAAAAGAATATTAAATTAAAAAAAAGATTTATTTTTTTTTGAGAAAATCGCGATTTTTATTTTTTTAACGTATGACAACTTTTGTTAGAAGAAAATCGCTCCTGACGGAGCGATTTTACCCTTTTGGTTAATTTTTTTTTTGATGTGTTATTTTTGTTTTTTGAAAGAAAAAAGTTGTCATTTTGGCTCTGGACTCTGATAACAACGTTAATCATACTTGTAATACTAAATGATTATCACAAATTTCTTATGTTGAGGAGAGGAGGACACGTGGGCCATTCAAGTTAAAGTCTTGTTCGACCATAGAATAAGTACTTTCTTGAACATAGAAAATGGGGTTAGATAACAATACATCAATTTTTCTGTGGTCAAACAAGAATTATGTTGCATCCAACAAAGATTACCTTAGAGTGCAATTTTCGTGTAATAATTATGTGTAGCAGTTGATTATTAGTAACAAGTTGATGTCATTAGAGAACAGACATTTTGTTTTTTTTACTTAGTTCTTTATAATTATGAATTAAGAACTAAGTATCATGAAACCATGCCCTAAATAATGTTTCTTGATTTAAGCAGTTTCTCTAAACATGTATGATTGAAATTTCATTTATTTTTTAATAAGTCATCACCAATAGGAACAGAAATTATTTTTTTAATTCAAAACATATCTTCATTCTTCTTTTATGCTTACATATCTACATCCTAACTTATCAAGCATATTTAATATATTCATATATATCTAAGCCCACCCAATTCATCAAATAAAAGAGTAAAAAAAGACAAGGCGCTGTCTCATCAAAAGATCCTAAATATAGTGAAACATACACGAATTGCATATATTTCCTGGTCTCAAAATCTGACACACATTTGGAGGTGCTTATAAAGCTGCACATGATGGGTTTTGGACTTAAAGTAACATGTATAGTATAATATAATTAGGTTACTTATAAGGTAATCTCTTGTAGGGGTGGAGCTAGTATTTAAGGTATGGGTTCTAGACGAATCCAGTATAACTTTTGTCTAAACTCTTTATGTATCTTTCTTACTATTACTAATTTAGAAGTCAGTAACTTAAGAGGGCTAGAATCTTTACATCATTAATGTATATAAACCTTTGAAAATATGTGCATTAATTGGATTGATCTAATCCTTTTTTCTTTTGGATGAACTCAGCTCCACAATGGAACAGTTTGCAACAACAGTGTCTGAATTAGCTCATAATTTAGCAAGAATTTTGTCAGAAAGAATGGGATATAAGTCGAAATATTTCAGAGAAGCATGTTTGCCACACACTTGTTACGTTCGAATGAATCGATATCCAGCATGCCCTATTTCTCCACAAGTGTTTGGATTAATGCCACACACTGATAGTGATTTCCTCACAATATTGCATCAAGATGAGATTGGAGGGTTGCAATTAGTAAGAGATGGGAAATGGATTTGTGTTAAGCCTAATCCTGAAGCACTAATTATCAACATTGGAGATTTGTTTCAGGTAATTACTCCATATATACATAACAAGTTAAGTTACAGAAAAAGCATACATAATTAGTTATTTATACTATCTAAACGAAGTAGTAATATAATGTGTGATGATGCAGGCTTGGAGCAATGGTGTTTATAAAAGTGTTGAGCACAGGGTTGTTACAAATAAAGCAAAAGAGAGATTCTCCACTGCATTTTTTTTATGCCCATCCTATGATACAGAAATAAGAAGTTGTTTTGAGCCTTCTGTTTATAAAAGATTTACCTTTAGAGAATTCAGACAACAAGTCCAAGAAGATGTTAAGAAATATGGTTATAAAGTAGGTCTCCCTAGGTTTCTTGTCTCAACTCACTAAACTCATATAAAATTTTGTAGCAGTTAAAAATGCATATGGTCATGACATGTGACGACCTTTTAAATAGCAAAAATGTATAAGTCAATCTTTCTGATTTTTGAGTTTTAATTTAGAACTCAAAAATTAAATAGTGTAACGTACGTGTACGTCCATATCTTATATATATAACTTCCTAGCTGTATATGTATTAAGTACTTACCATGTAAGCAATGTGTGTGATCTAATTATGTAATAATGCTTTACTGTAGTATTTCTAATGATACTTTATCAGTGGAAAGAAATATCCTTCTTGCTTTGTGATTGTGTTTTATTGCCAAAGTATATTTTTTTGTCTCAATTTTTACGGGTTATGCAAATATAAATTAAATTGATGACCCTATTTTTTTCTCCTTTTTATTTCCTCCTCCATATTGACTCACAAGATCTAACCATCTAGGTTAAGAACCTGGCGTTCACACGGATTCTTGTAACTTGTATGATTAATTTTGAAGGTAATTTATCAAATGATGGCTTTAAGAAGGAAGGTGTGGAATCGAAATCAATAGAATAGTATTAAAATAGGTGATCAATTTGAATAATTAAACAACATATCTATACGAGTTTTACCTGTCCATCAAGACTTGTAAACAGTTCGTGAGTGGAATGATGATAGAACCAATTTGTGAATAATTGAACAAAACATACAAGTATTACTATATATATATATATATATGTATATATATATATATATGAAGAAAAAATAGTTAGAATAAAGTCTTGTTAGTAATTTAGTATGTAACTTCTGAACATGACAAATTTTTACCTATCTGGTAAAACTTGTGAACAATTGTATTAAAGTTTATAACCCAGTCTTTATACATAACTCGTGTAAACTTAACTTTTTATTCTTCCGTTTAACATAACTTGTGAAAATGTTATGATTCGCTTGTGAAAGTTATGATGTGGGAGGTTATTTTTGCAAAAAAAAAATTAAACAACATCCTTAAATATTCCTATTAATTTGTGCAAATCACCTTCTAAAAGTTTGATGTTTCTTAACAGTTAGGGAAAATTATTAATTAATGGGCTCAACCAAACCCTCCTTTGGGCCTTCCAACCGAAGGTATGGGCGTAGGGATGGCACCAGATTGCCAATGTTGGCACCATTTAAAATACATTCTGTTTGTAAGAATTATTTAAAAGTTAGCCAATGTTGGCAATCTTCAGCCATGCTTTGATGTTGCTCCTTCTATGTGATCGTGAATAGCAAAATCAGACATTAATAATATACAAGGGATGCATTTTACTACTTATTTCAATGATAAATATGTTGTTTATCTAGGATTGTACGTATATTTTTTATTTTAAATATCATTCACTGTGTAGTTGAGGTATGTGAACTTCGTTAAATGCCGCTGAAAACTAACTTCATAGCCAAAGGTCTGAAGTTTGAAAAGCCAAAATTCAAATTTAGACATGAGAGTCCAAATATGTGTTCTACAAAGCCTAACCTCAAAATTTCATTAATTTGCTCTTCTTTCATTAAGGATCCTAAAATTAAATGGTTATTTGTGCACTTCCCCCAACTTCGCCAGTCAAAATTGAACCATATATGAAGGCCACGGGCGTATGTTCATGTCAACAAATTAGACAACGATTAATTAAGATGAAGTTTCCTCTTTCAGTCTATTCTTACTCATTATGTTTCATTTTCCGAGAGTTAAGTTATATGAATTTTTGATAAATTTTATGATATAGTTTTTCATCATATTAATATAATTTTTTATTTTTTTGCAATTTTATGATGTTTTTCATATAATTTCTGAACTTCTAAATTTTAATTTTAAAATATTAAACTAATCTAACAACTCTCACTAAATTAACTTTTGAAAAAAAATAAAACATTACAAATAAAAGTGAATAGAGGGAGTAGAAATACATTATGACTCTGTAATAATATTGATTAATACTATACGATAGTAATGACATATGGTCAATCAAAATTTTCATATTAGTAACTTAGATGTTAGAGCACAATATTCTCCATATAATAAGGCCTAACCAATTTCCTTCAAAAATATTTTGTTTTGTATTAAAATATTTTATTTTGTGTTGCATTGATGGCACTGGCAAGTTGCATTATTTCTAGTCACGTTTTGGCTACTAAAAATTGTTCCTGTAATTAATTTAGTTTTAAATTTTAATTATCTAGCTATCAAGAATAAAGAATTACTTTTATCATTAAAAAAAATTAATATGATGGACATTTACTGAAATTAAAATGTTTGTTGGCTGTGGTGTAGTAGTGAGACGATGAAACTGCTACATTCTTAATTAGAAGTTTCAAGTTCGAGTCTTGAATATGGACAAAATCTCATTGAAAATGTCATCCCAAATGAGTCATGTTGTGCGCGATTCAAATTTTATCGTGCTCCAAAGTCCAATGTTGATTCCGAACACTGAAACTAAAAAAAATAAAATTAAAAAGCTCGTTGAGATAATTTGACTGTATGGAAAAGTCAACGATAGAAGGACAGAAAAGTAATTTCAAAAACACAATAAAGCAGCCTTCATATAGAACGCAATCTGGGTTAGTCGGAGACGGAGAGAAAAACGCCGACGATCGGAGATGGCGCGAAGAATAGGGATCCACTGGTTCGCGCTCACACTTACTATCGTGCTCTCCCTTCTCGTTCAGCCTTGTTTCTCCATATACTGTGACGAAGATGACTGTTACGATCTCCTTGGGTAATCTATCTCCCTTTTAAACTAATATCTTTTCTAATTCTTCATATTTTTTTCACTTATTTTTTTAATTTTTTTTTTTTTTTGCAGGGTTACTCAAAATGCCAATTCTTCTGAAATCAAGAAAGCTTATTACAAGCTCTCTCTAAAACAGTAAATTTTGCTCCTTTTATCTCAACTGATATTTTTTAAAAAATTATTTGGTTGAATTGGGAAGTTATTGATAATTGTGTTTTTTAGTCATCCAGATAAAAACCCTGATCCAGAATCAAAGAAGCTTTTTGTGAAAATTGCAAATGCGTATGAGGTAATTAATGTTTAGTTTCTGAGGTTTGGTTTTTTTTTTTCTTTGCTTTAGTAATTTTTAGAGATTAATTAGCATATCAAATTGGGATTTCAATTATGAAAAAATAAAATCCAATTATAAACAAGCTGCAAAGCTTATTATTGATGCAAGAAAGGGAGCCCAGAAGAAGAATTAGATGGAAGTATTATAAATTAAGTGAATTTGGGTAAATTCTAATGGAGTATTAATTTCATACTGGGTAAAAAAAAAGAGCTTTCTGGTTGCCTTGGTCAGCACATTGTGTTTTCGATAAGCGAGATTCATCTGATCTAACACAAATGCTAGCTTTATGCCATGTTATATGTGTTGTTTGACTGGATGGGGTTAAAGATGTTATACTACTAGCTTTATGTTTTATAGAAAAGAACAAAAAGGTTGTGAAAGATATTAATGGAAATATGGAACATTGTCTAACCGTTTGGGCCACCATATAGTTGGGATTGGGGGAGTAGTATGTTTTTGTGATGAATATTAAAGGGTTGATTTTCCCCGTAGATTTTGAAAAACGAAGCCACAAGGGAGCAGTATGATTATGCACTTGCCCATCCAGAGGAGGTTAGTATCCATTGCTCTTTTGGTTCCATATTTTTTTACATAAAAAATTTTCATAGAATTTTTGCGAGTCCTAGTTAGTGCTTCCATTTTTATTCCGTAGTACCCCAATGTCATTCTTTTATCATCTTGGAGTCCAGCTTATGCATATTGGAGTTTCTTGGCCAATGCTATTAGAGTTCTCAATTGACTGATGATAATCAGGTTGCTTACTAATGTGTTCTTTTTGTGCTTTTGAATTTTCAGTTTTTCTACAATACAGCACGGTATTACCATGCTTACTATGGTCACAAAACTGTGAGTCTTTTCCTATTTCCTTCCAGATATTTATATTCTTTTATCAACACTTCATATGGGTGAAACTTTGAGCTTGAGATTTCATTATACATGTAAAGTTGATTTTATACTCACTTAGCTGTTTGTGTTGAAATTATAGGATACCCGTGCTGTGCTCGTTGGTCTTCTTTTGATAGTCTCAATATTTCAGTATCTGAATCAGTGGACAAGATATAATCAGGTAAGTAATACTAAACATTCATCACTAAGATTTCTCTCAGTTTGTAAGCTGCATTAGCAATCAATGGTTAAAGACGAGATCCTTGTATTTTAAGTCTGGAAATTGAAGAATGCTGTCCCGACTTTTATTTTGCTTGATTTTATAGTATGATGATCTTAGAGCAGTGTGATCCTTAGACAGTAAAAGAAAAGAATAGTCTTATGATGATCGGTGAGATTAAATGAGATGATTCCTATGCATAAGTAACTGTGTGCCTTGAGTATTTGTCTGGGTAAACCTAGCTGATATGAAGATGCATCATTTTATGATTATCTATCGACTATCTTACGAGGTGTAATTATTTGTTTGTAGATAATTATTATTTTTTATTGATAAATTTGAGGATAGTAATCAATAACTAAACTAGAAAAGTGTTCCTCTAGCCGTGTTACTCCTGTCATCCTATTCTGATGCACCTTATCGTCATTAGTATAAGAATATGATTCACCAGAAGTGAAAGCGGAGGAAATATGGATTTGGATTATTCAACTCTTATTTTATTTTATTTTTTGAAACCTGCAGCCGCTACCCTTTGGGTGCGCACAAGGTAAAACCCCCGCTCCAATGCAATAGCTCGCAAACCTTGAGAAAGTAGTGTACTCGGATGAGTTAATTAGGACAGCAATAGCATGTAATGTTGATCGATAAAAAGTCTGGAGAAGTAGGAGAAATCTGTGGTGATACATAAACTAAAAACAATGGTGTTACTGAGAATGATCCAATTAACCATGCATCTATCCATATTTAGAGAAAATCAATCATAATACTACCACTTTTACTCTAGCTTTCGACCTATTGCAATTTTCCATCTTTATCGGGGCTTGGAACCTACTATGTTTTGTGAATCCTAAGTAGGTAGAGTTAATGACAATTACTGTGACTGTTCCGAAAATTTAAGAGGAAGAAGGATGAGATTTTTTGAATTCATGATGTATACCCTTGATCTAAGTCTGCAGAAAACACCTTCGAATCAACAAAAGCTTCAGGAAGTTTTGGCATGATTCTAATAAAACTCTACCCTCTTCTAAATGAGCATCGGAAAATTCAGTAGCTTCCAAAAAATTGCATACATGCCAATAAGAATAAGACCAACATGAGGCAGATTCTAAGGTGAGGAAGATACCATAGCTTTTTCCAATTTAATATTTAAATAATCAATCATCTAGATACACTCCAAGATTCACAATAAAATATAAACAGGTTTCTTGCATATTCTTTTCTTCACTTTTCTGCATTATTTAGTTTGATTTGTAATGGAAATTCAGAATGATCTTGGGTGAGTATTGTTTAGTGGGAAACATTGCAAAACAGCAGTTGGACTCCAAAAGCAGTGCAATATATTGAAAGGTTACATCATGGTAAATAAATTAAAATAAAATAAAATTCTCCTTGTGTTCAATTCTGTGAGACAGCTAGCTTAAGCAAAAAGTAGAAAAGAGTGACCTATAGTTGGAGATGGAAATAGTTCTTTTTTGGCTTCTTACTCGTACTTTGCCATGTGTTATAAGTTGTGATTTCCTCTTTTATTAGGCTATTGACATGGTCAAGAAAACACCAGCTTATAAAAACAAGCTACGTGCTTTGGAGCTTCAACGCACTGGAGGAATGGCTAATAGGAAGAAGGGCAACAAGCCGATGGACAAGTATGAGCATATCTCTCGTTCATTGACTATGCAACCTGAATCTTCTGGTTTAGCTTGATGAAATATACTTGCCTTTTCATATGGGCTGTCATTCAAATTTGTTTATTTGCTCAATCTGGTTTTATCAGCCGAATTTGCTATTTGTGACAGGAAGGTGGAAGAAGAACTTGGCAAGGAACTCAACTTGGACATAAAGGGCACTGAAAAGCCTGCTGTTTGGGATCTAATTGGAATCCGTTTTATACTTCTTCCTTACACTCTGGGAAAGGTAGCAGCATTTTGGTGTTTTATGCATAACAGTGAAATGAAAAAATGATCCAAATTTCCTTGCGCTTATAGTTTGTTCTGCTAGAAGGTTTAAAATAAGATACTTTATGCTTATGAATACAAGATATTAAGGGTTCCTGACATTCTTCTTCTGTCTTCTGAAGCTGTTATTGTGGTATGGATGTTGGTTCTGGAGGTACAATGTCAAGCGTGCTCCATACTCATGGGAAGATGCCTCCTATTTGACACGAAGGTCCCTTCGGGCTTCTCTTGATTCATGGATATCTATTGGTAAGACAAACTGATTTTCCTGTGTTCACGAACACTGGTAGTTTCAGATACACATGTATATCTTGAGAAATGTAGATAAACGTGATTGAGGATATATATGCGATTGTGATGCTTTTTACAAATGTTTCCTCGATCATTGCTGCTTGTCATACTACCAATCTATTGGTTTGATAAAGTTTTTCTTTTCATTTCTTGCTGTTTATGATTTCTTCCAATCATGCTTCTTTTATCAGACGAATCAACCAAGGAAGATCTTATTGAAAGACGGCTTTGGGAGAAGTCCAACTTTGAAAGCTATGTGGCAGAGATGCGTAAGGAATCAAAGCGCCGAAGATAAAAGTTCTTTTGTTTTTACTCAAAGCTATGTGTAGTATGAGATCAGTTTTGATGGGGAGTATTCTGAGTCATGAAGCCGAAAGTCTAATGTTAAATTATTGAAGAGAGCAAAATTCTTTTGACAAGGAGAGCTATTGGATTGATAAGTATGTCATAGAACTTGGATTTTCACGGTCAGTGTCATAGCTATGTTAGTACTCAAAATAATAAGTATACAAAACACATATTGAGACAGATACAAGCATACTGCATTTGGAGCAATTTTGTGGGACAAGCTTCTTCTGATGAGTGCTGCTCCCCACGGTGATTTTGCTGTTGTAATGCTAGGTTAGAATGTGTCGAAGCATCTATATGTTGTGAAAAGACAGGAATTCCGTTCCATATAATGAACTTCATACTTGGCTATGTTGTATTTTTATGTACCATAGTCTTAACTGGTGAACTGTGAACATAAAAATGGCAGGTCTGTCATTACCAATTGGAAGTGTTAGCTCCGCTTAAGTATCGCTTTCTATCTGCATTAACTCCTTCATGTATAAGGTTAAAATTTTGAGTGCACCTACCTCTTCGTAGGATGAGTTGAATGCCATTTCAACCATCGGAGGGTAAAATGCTTCTTTGGTCTTTAACCGTTCTCATCAGGCAGAAACGAAGAATTAAAAGTAATTTCAAGTTGGTTAAGATGAGAAACATTTTATTTTTTTATATGGAGAAGATGAGAAATACTCTTTCATGCTTGATTCTTCTAAGACTGCATGTTGCTCCCTGACCTTCTGTTTTTATGAAGGACAAATAATATTGTGAGACACATACAGAACTTTCCCACAACTGCATCATACATGGTGGACTTATTTATGAACAAGTAGAAAGTATGTTGATTGATTAAGAGAAGTGCACATAATAGCAGATATGGCGTGAATGCTGGCACGAGGAGATGGTGGGAGTGTTTTACTATTATTTGTTAAAATTGGAATTCATTATATTATTTTCATCATAGCTGAAAGAATCTCTGGGCGAAGCGCAGAGAAAACTCAGAAGCACCAGAATTCTCGACCCTCCATTCACTAAAGTACTCAGCTTGTAGAATTGATACGTCCTGAATTGGGTAGTAATTTTTTTCTTGATTCATTGCTAATAACAAGGCTAGTCTAAGTATTTCGCTTACATAGCTATGCACTCACTGCAAACAAAGCTTCACACACTCTAGGTTGATCAGATCAGAAGCCTGAACTTTTCACACAAAATCAATTTTTAAAGACAAGACTGAAACTAATGTTTCAAAAGATCACCATTTTACAGCGCCTCATTCGGTGGTGCAGCTTTTGTAGTATTTTACAGAATCATGGATACAGAATCAAGTGTTTCTCATTGCATTCACAAAGTAAGAACAATTCTCTAAGATAAGTGTGTGCTGAGGTAACATTGAAGTTAGTTCGTCAACCATGTCCACATCATACATTGCTCTGTTTGTATAGCTTGGTGTCAAGAACTTGCTTTCCACACATTGCACATACTCCTGCACGGGAAGAACACTTCAGACAAGACATAAAGAAACGTTACCCTAAATATGAATCATTTGGAACTAGAATTTCATTAATATAAATCATATGCAATTCCAAAGTACTCTTCATTACCTTTACTATAAGCACAGGTATGACAATATTTACCATCTTGATGCACTTGTTGCTTGCAAATAGTGCACTTTGTATTTCCATAAGGTGACCACCTGCAATACAACAAGTTCCCTAGTAAGAAAGTATCAAAACGATGACAAACATAATCAAACTGCATTTGATATCCCAACAAATCATATAAAACATTTCATTCAGCACAACACTTACCAGAGGATGCTGATGACTAAAGAGTGAAAATGGTTGCAATCATGCAATACCACAAACAAACAAAAAAAGCACCTTAGAACACCAGGTTAGGCTATCCACTTATCACTTTTAGCATTGCAATACAATGATTTCTAGTTTTTTTATTTGAGATTTCTATAAAACTTATATTGAAGATTTCTAGTCTAAAAGAAGCATATTGTAGCCAATATTCTTGGCTAAATGGTGCATTGCATTCTTTCTCCACAAAGTGGGCAACAATCTTGCTCCTCTTCCAGAGGTGTACCAATCCAACTGTAATTCCATGTCTCATACAAAGAAAATCCGAGGAAAACAACTTGTTCTAAACGTTTTTTTATAAGCAAATATTCAGCTGTTCAGTTTCGATCCCATGACCCTTGGCTTGAATATGAATATTATCCTATGACCTATCTTGTTTGGGAGGGTGTATAAACCAAACTGACCATAATCATAACTGTTCAGCATCTGAACTTATCAAATTCAAAGACAGAGAGCTTAGAAGAATTTACAAGAGAAACTTTCAACACAATGTTTGTTCCTGCCTTAATAACCCAATTCAATTAGAGTATCTCTCCCCTTTCCCTATTTTCACATGGTACCCGGTATTTGGATGATATCCAATACCTTCCAATAGGCACTGGCCAAAGTTTTCGTTCATTCCTCTTTCCTGCTTTCAGAGATTCATTCTGCTAGTACATCTCTTTGACTTCACACGTCTATACGGTATTAATACTGATTTTCTTATATTTTCCAGAATTCTACTGCAGTTATTCAGCCAGACCTTGCTTTTAGCTCAAACCACTATTTCCAACATTGAAGGTGTCAATAACACGAGTAAACTGAAGGAGGACTTGTCAGAGACATCTATGTGGAACTTGTTCAATTTTACTTATGTAAATTTTCCTTTTTTTTATTGAAGTTAGCTCTTAAATAAGACAACGGGTTCCTCATATAACATCATACTGGAGTGTAGTTCAGTCTGAACTACCTAAACACACAATTTCAACCTTTAAGGTTAGCATTAGCAAATTCAAAGATCAGAAAGAATCATTGCAAGACTCTGATGTCTAATGTGTCTCAGTGTGTGTGTGGGGGGGGGGGGTTGGATGGGTGGGGGCTTTAAAAAAAGAAGAGAAAAGGACTTGAATTTCCCTCTTAGGATACACACTTACTTTTGGATTGTGTTCTCTCCCTCACAATCTACTCAACCGTTTCCTTCATTGATTTGAAAAACAAGCACCCCACTCTCAGCCAAATTAATTATATTTCATCTACAAACAATAATGCAGCTAAGATTAAAGTACTCAAGTCAGTAATTTTTACTTCTACTATCTATAATGATGTTAGTGTCCTTACTATTTCACCGGTACCTACTATCTCCCACCAGCCCACGTACTGAGTAACTCTGCCCACCAATGCTCAGGTATATTGGAAGTCATGCTTAGTGTTCTTTTGTTTTTGCTTGATTTTAAAGCCTTGGTCTCCATGGTTTGCACCCACTTCATTGATCCCTAGAGCACCCCCTTGGGTGCTACTCAGGTCCGCAAATTTACCACAGCTAATCAGTCCTTACTGACCAGCATTAAGAAAAAAACCTGACTATCTTAGTAATTTAACATCTGAATTCCTTCTAGAGAAGGTAGTAATTGAGTTTTGATTGATGAAAGTTTTGGTATGTATCAAGTAGTATAATGAATCTCAATTGGCTGGCATCACAGATCAATCAAAATTTCCTAGAAGAAAGCAAGCATATAATCAAAAAATATTTTTTCCTTAAAAAAAGCAAGCATACGATTCTCAGTTATTCTTCTTCCATTCTACGGTCAGTTAAAGGGAAACTTACAAGGAGACTGGAATTCACTATCAGGACGGACTGGTAAAAGCAATTAACCAAAAAGAAAAGAAAAAAGGAAGAACAAAAGTAACCTTTTCTTCTTGGAGAGCAGTTTGTTCTCGTTAATCTTACGGCCTCCACCTTCAGTAGTGTTGCTGGCACCTTCCTTCCATTTATCAGGAACAATCACCTTGGACAACTTCTTCTCACCTGAAAATACAATTTATGAAACCCTAGGTCAAAATCAATTGGTCATAAATTGTTTGTAATGAACAATTTGTGAATAAAAAAGGAGAATTCAAACTTACACTTATCGCAAACCATAGTTGCAGTTCGCGAGCTTGATTCAAATTGCGACACAGAAAGAGAATTTTTCAACTCCGGCCAAATTCGTAATTTGGGGACGAAGGTAAATAATTGATGAGGGTTGAATAATATATATGAAGACGGTGCGGTGGAGATCACAGGGAAATATATGGAGTTGCGCGTAAGAGCCGCTTGATTAAATACTTGAGAGTAGGGGTGTTCACGGGTTGATTTGGATCGATTATTGATCAAAATCAAAACTAAACCAATTTAATCGGTTTTAAAATTATCAAAATCAAACCAAACCAAGTATAATATACATTTATCGGTTTAGTGATTATCGGTTTTGGTTTGATTTGGTTCGGTTATTAACCAAACACAAAAATAAAAGAAACAGTTCATTTAAAATGTGAAAAAAGTGACAACAATCCATTCAAAACGAAAAATAGTTAGAAACTTTTCATCACTAAATTTACTAATAATAAAACTTTTAAATTCACTATATTGGCCTAGAAGGAAGAGACAATAACATTTTCAGTCTCACAAAGAATTGTCAGACACTCATATACATGAAATCAATAAGATAAATGTTTCATCTTGGGCATTTTTGCTTTCAATAAGTAAATTATAAAGAAAATTTAATGAAAATATGTATAAAATCTTTAAAATTGTTTATAAAAACACTATATTAAGTATGTATATTAATAAAATATATGTATATAATTCATCGAACCAAACCGAACTGATGAATTTTTTTTATTTTTTATTTTTTGATTTTATCAAAAAAAAATAATCGGTTCGGTTCGGTTATTTCTTTGGGTTTTTTCTAATAAAACCATAATCAAACCAAATACTATCAGTTTTAAAAAATCTAAAACCAAATCAAACCAAACCCAAATAAAATCAGTTTTATTTTATCGGTTTGGTTTGGTTTTTCGGTTTGGATTGATTTTTATCCAAACCGTGAACACCCCTACTTGAGAGGCGTAATCCTTTTTCTTTTCTTTTCTTCTTTTTAAGATAAATATTGAAAACACTCCTAAATTTGGTGTGAATTATTAGTTTAGCCATTTACTATTGACAACATTAAAAGTACATGTCTACTTGATTAAATGAATTTAAAAATACCCCTCTTATGCCACATGTGCATATATGTAGAATTTTTTGCTTAGGTGGCGTATACATAGATATATGTAATTAAAAAAAAATCAAAGAACATTTAAATAATTAAATGTTAAGAATTTAGCAATTTAAGAATCTTTTTTTTCTTTTTAAAGATTTATTTTTTCTTATTACCCCACCACATCCTCTACCCAATACCCATAGCCTCACACTTCACTTCCCATCCATTCCAAAAAAAATAATTCTTTTAAACTTTTTTTTTAGGGCAGAAGAATTGGAATAAGAAAAAATATTTTTTTTTTTAGCTGTCTTGATGAATGTATCAACATAATCAAGCTTCCTTCTTCAATTAGATGAACTTGTACTAAACTAATGTGAACATCTCTTTGTAATAAATCTTTAAAGAATATATCTTTGATCTTCATCAAACTGAAGGACATATCATGTTACTATCTTTTCTATGACTCCTTATGAAAAAAATGAAAAATAATTTATTTTAAAAAGAGAAATAAAAATTATACTATAAAAATGAAAAATGAATATTCAACATCTCCATGGATGATTGTTATTTATAGATTTGATAGTCCATAAGAAAAGTTAGGAAGAAGTTGAAGAGGCATGTTATTTAAGTAGAGAATATAAATAGATGGAAGGTTTTTTGTAATTCATTACATATAATTAAAATAGTAAATATGATTGAATTTCTTATTTAATAAAGAAACTATTTTATGAAAAAAATTAAGGAAAAAAAATCTCAAAAAAGGAGAAAAAAAATGAATGGAGGTCATAGAGAGACCCCACATCACCTTATCTAATAGTACTAGATAATGGTGCCCGTGCTTTGCACGGGCCCAATAATATAAATGGTATGTTTGGGGTTAATAACGGAGTTTTTGAAGCGATTGTTTACGTGGATAAAGAAATAAGTTTTTTTATCACAAACATGTATTTTCTTTTACACTATTAAAATGGACCCAATATACATTATTTTTGTTGTCTCAGTTTATGTGACATAAATAAAATTTGGAGAGTCATCCAAATTTTCATATATATTTTTTTAAATGTTTTAAGTTATTAATTATTGTGATTTATAATATTTTTATGTAACTTTCAAATAACCTACCTTACTGGTCACTTTGTCCTAATTTATGTGATATGGATAAAATTACAAAATTAACCCTTTTAAAATGTCTTTTAGATATTTTAAGTTGTTAATTATTATTATTTATAATACTTTTTTGATAATTTTAAAATGATATGTGTTATTTTTTCTGTCCCAATATATGTGAGTCTGATAGAATTATAAGAGTGAACCTATTTTATTATATAGCTTTTAAATATTTTAATTTGGTAATTATTGTAATTTTTAATGTTTTTTAAGTCATTTGTAAATGATATATGTTGCTTCATTTGTCCCATTTTATATAGTATAAATAAAATTCCCAAAACCAACTCAATTTTTAATATATTTTTTAAAATATGTTAAATTATTTATTATTGCGATTTATAATATTAAAATAAAATTAAATAGAAAATGTACAAAGCTTGTATCAGCCTAAAAAATGACCACGATAATTCGAAGCCTACAGAAAGCAATAAGGTTGTACATAATTTTAAATACTTAATATATATTACTCTGTTTGTCTCAATGTATGCAGCATAGATAAAATTTCAAGAGTCAATCAAATATTGTTAATTGTTAAGATTTACAATACATTTTACGTAGTTTTCAATAATTTCACATTAAATAATACATAATACTACTTTTGTCTCATTTTATGTGACATTGATAGATTAATTTTAAGAACCAGTCAATTTCTTTTTTTGTGTTTTTTTAATAAATATTTTAAGTTGTCAATTATCACGATTTATTATATTTTATACATAATTTGTAACGATAGATTAATTTCAAGAATCAATCGAATTTTTTTATATGTTTTTATTTTTGAAATATTTTATGTTGTCAATTATCATGATTTATAGTATTTTTACGATAGATTCACTTCAAGAATCAGTGGAATTTTTTGTATTTTTTTCAAAACATATTTTATGTTGTCAATTATCATGATTTATAGTATTTATATGCAATTTTTAAATATAAAAAACACACAAAAAAAGACAAATAAATTAAAATGGACCCAATATATGTTATTTTTGTTGTCTCAATTTATGTGACACAAATAAAATTTGGAGAGTCATCGAAATTTTTATATTTTTTTTAAAAATGTTTTAAGTTATTAATTATTGTGATTAATGGTGTTAAATTGTCCAATAATATAAATTTTAGAGGTACAACCATAAAAGAAGAATGTACAACACTATCTAAGCACATGTAACACTTGTCATGTGCTAAGTAGTAGATATAGTAATTATTATATATAGTAATAGAAAAATATATATAGAAATGACATATTTATTATTTAACTAAATAATAAATATGTAACTAAAAATCTTGTTAGCTTTTGGTTGAAAGCTAACAAGATAGTTACAATCATAGTTGCATTGTGGCTTATTATATATAGAAAATATGATTGAATTTTTTATTTAATAAAGAAAATATTTTATGAAAAAAATCTCAAAAAAAGATAAATATGAATGAAAACCATTGAAATGTGTCACATCACCTTATCTATGTCTCTCCTTTATATTATAGATATAGATTTGTAACTTACTTTTTAAAAATTTCTTGAGTTGAAATTCAAATTATAGTTATGAAACTTAAAGGGATAAAAGTCTGAAAAATATTCCAACTTTGATCGGATTTGTTGTTGCGATACTAAATTTTCATGAGGACCTATTACCTCCCTAGACTATTTAATAACGTATTTTAAACATATATATTTGTCCACGTGGACATAAAAAATAATACAAAATTATAAATAGTAATGTGTCCACGTGGGCACATATATACCTTTAAAATACACTATTAAATAGTTTAGGGGGTAAAAAATACGGAATTAAATAATCTAGGGAGGTAATAGGTCCTTATGAAAGTTTAGTATCGCAACAACAAATCCGACCAAAGTTGAGATATTTTTCAGACCCTTATCCCAAACTTATATAACAATGTATTAAAATTAGAGCATTGAGATTAAGTGGGTCAAATTGGACGGGTCAAAATCCAACCCATTTTAAGTCCATTTGAGCCCAAAGTAAACTTGGGCGGGTTAAGACCCAACCCAATATTTATGTCAACTCAACCCGCTCATATATATATATATATATATATATATAAATTATAAATTAAAATCACGCATTGTTTATTTAAAAATTGAATATATTTTAAAACATATAACTTTAAAAATAAACACAAATTACCTAATAAAATAAGATAGCTTTTAAATTTTTTAAATATCTAAGTTATTTGTATTTTTTTAATTATAATATATTTTTATCATATAGAAATTTCTCATTTTATTTTAGTTTACTTATTTATCATTCTACCGTTCATTATATGAGAGGTTTAAGTGTTTTTTGAGATGATACATAATTACCTCTTAAATTATAACACTTCTTTAAAAAAAAAGACGCCTCCAAAATTATTATTATTTACCTCTTAGCTATCGTATTCCCCCATCTCTCCCAAAACCCTAAGCGGTCGACCGTTGCAGCGCCCCTCTCTCAGCCATCAGCACCTCCACCGTCTGAAATCCGTTGAGGTACGATTTTTTAATTTTCGAAATTTCTGTTAATAAAATTTCATCGAAGGGATAAGGGACTACTCATATACAGCAAATCTCATTTATTAGTTGACGAATTTTGCATTCTTCTTGAGAAAGAGGGGATTAAATGGAATATAGGGGATGGGAAGCAGGAATAAAATGGAATATAGGGTCCATTTGATTTATATAGGAAAAAGGAAGAAAAAAAAAACTCAATTCTAAACAGGTAAAAGGAAAATGTTTAAGTTGGGTAGTTTCTAGTGATAAATATGGGATCACTTGTTGAGTTGTGTTTGGTTTGCTTGTCGACTAAGGTTTTCGAGATGGGTTTCTATAGATTTGGATTTGGCTTGACCATCTCTTTATTCATTTCCAGCCCTGTGTGTTGCATTCTTTGCTCTATTTTCTGTCTTTTTTTTCTGTGTTTCACCACTACAATAACGATTCTACAAGTAAAAATGAAAATCTATTTTAAGAATAAGTGAAAGTGAACAGAAGGAGTAATAAGTTTTGTAATTTCTCCATTTTCTGTTACTATTTGTCTGTAAAGTAAATGTGCTTCTCGATTTTGTGGGGACTATCCTTCTTTCATTCATGCTTAACACATTAATGTATCTTTATAGCTTGAAGGAAAACTTAAGTTATTGTATTCCCATTATGCGGTATCTCTGATTAATTGGAAATCTATTCTAAAATTAAAATTTACATATTCAAAAAGTATATGAAAAATAGTATAAATTACAATTCTTCTTGTATTAATATGATGAAAAAACATTGGTGTCTCTCAAAGATGGAACATGACAAGTAATTTGGGATGGAGGAGTATCTTTTAACATCTTTGGCATTCGGGATAGAAAAACTTTTGAAATTAAAGGAATGAAGACTTCTAAAACTTGTGGTACTAAACATGTCAAGTGTGGTTATAATTTTTTTTGAAAAACTTGTGATCTTAAGAATGCCATGATATTTGTGCGGCTATAAAAGATTCTCACTAAGAGTAAAATGGCAAGTTTAAATAAATTATTCAAATTTAGTAATGGGTCATTCTTTTATTTTTTTGAAATCAATAACTTTTAATGGGTCATTTTTTTTTAAACAGTCGAAAAAGGAAATAGGTTCTTATAGATTGAAACGGAGGGAGTAGTAACAATGCGAATCTGCAAGTGTCTAGGATGCCCAAGGACAAGTAGCGTGGAGTATACAAACCAGGATTCAACATTTGACAGCTTTATATTATGAAGCAAAAAGCGCACACATGCATTTTTTTGGTATTTGATGTTTGTACAAATGGATGTCATTATGTCCCTTAATTGTTTCCTCCCTCCAAACTATGGCTAGAATAAACTCCAATGGTTAGTTGTGTGGGTGCCTAATTTATCTTCCCAGTTAAATAAATTGTGATCACGTGCTTTGATTAGTGTAGGAGGTAGAAATCCTGTGCCTGCCTGGTAATGCAAAGACATTTCGCCATGTCTGCTGATCCTGCTTTGGTGGAGGAGGACGCTTCTTCAGGCTCAGGAGAGGACTTAAACATGTTAGATGGGCACAGTAAGCATCAAACTGTAACGCCAAATTCAGGTCGTCGCAAGAGAAGTCGCAAGGCAACTGGTGATGCTATAGTTGATGCAATGCTGGAAATTGCAGCTGCTTCAAAGATGAGGGCAGCTGCCATTATGAGGAATGAGGAACGCTTTGCTATAAGCAAATGCATAAAAGTATTAGATGAAATGCAAGGTGTAGATCAAACTATCTACTTTTTTGCATTGGATTTATTCGAGAATTCAAATGCCAGAGAAACTTTTATCTCTCTTAAGAATGAGAGACGCTTGATATGGTTGCAGTGTAAGTACAATTCGGCAAATGCAGCTAGCTAACGGATGAATCCTCTATTAGTTCTCGACTTTCATACAGTGGGTTTTTCTAGGACATTTTGACTGTATATTACTATTACTTCCCAACATCTATTTATCACTGGGTGTGGCTGGATGCTTAGTTCTAATTCGTAATTGTTGCCAGCTGTTATACAAACAAAAAAACTACTCTATGTTTTATTTACTAGAGTGATTTCAATTTCTTTGGTTGTGCGACGCTGGTTGCCCGATTATTTCAGTTGGTGATATGTGACATCGTTTACGCCTGATAGGTGTCATCTTAGAGAACTCCGGAGTTGTGTAAATTATCCACAAAAATTGGTAAACTAGTACTTTGAATTGTCAGTTGTAAATTATCTTGCTCTTGGCATTTTCCTGAATATTTTTGTTGATGTCATTTCAAGGTTTGAAAATTTGGTGCTATTAACAGGGCATGTTTAATTAGTTTGCAATATCAAATTGTGTATGGAGGCCCATATGCTAGACATGTACAATTGTACCAGTGATCCGTGACAACAAAATTGTTTGTTTATGAGATGGCGACGAATTAGTAAATTGTGTGGTCCTCTCCTCCCCATAACAAACAACTTAATTAGGAAATTATAAGTTGGCTCCTCAAATCTGTCCCACAAATTGAAGTACCATTTTCAAAAGCTACTTCCTCATCTTTATATGTGTTTTTTTTCACTTTTACTTCTGGCAGTGTAATAGCTAGTAGTAGTACAAAATTGATGTTGAAAACAAAATCCACAAGGTATATGATGTAGAGTACAAACATACGGCGATATGAATTGATTATTCCAAGTGAGAGAATCATAATTTTCCACAACTTAAAAATTTTCATCTAGGTAGGTGAGATGTCCATCTCATTAAATTTGTACTGCAATATCTGGTTATTTTAATGCCATGTGACATGTCTCGTTACTTCATGATCTCACAAATTACAACTTCTGGTGTGGTGTGTAATTAGTAATTACCGCGCTCATCAATTTCACGATGTTCTTCGTTCATCTCAAAAGTCCTAGAGCTGGAATTGAATTAGAATTTTAACTTCCAACTCTTGCACAAGGAGAAGATGCATTATCTATCTCATAATGCTAATGCTCTTTTGGAAACTTACATAACAGAAGTCGTCGATCAGAGGAGCCCTTACCTCTTAAACGACTATGAGAAATTGAAATCTTAACTTCCTTCAATAAAACATACATATGTAAAGATTGCATTAAGAATATCATTATAACATTTGTGAATATAGCGAAACACTGTTTCACTTTCCAATAGTAGTAATGCCGTTCCTTCTTTTACTAGACGGTGTAAAGAATACCAATCGATGGATCTACTATGGCTCAATCCCAAATAAGTATGAGAGAGTCCGATATATATACACTCAAAATCCAGATCAAAATACTACTACAATTTTCCCCTCTCAAATAATTTTATCTCTCATTAATATTAGTCCAATGGATTTAACCAACACTCTTGAGGCTTGTACTTGTTCCTCACAGTATCCTGACAATAGTTATAAACCACAAAGTTCTTTTGAACCCAAGCATAATCAATCTTCTCTTTACTTGATAAGTGCCAAGCATTGTTCTGATCCCACCAGTGCTGTGTGGTGGATGAAGCACAAGCAGGGTAGGGATTTTTCCATGGACAAGCATCTATTGTAAAATCCTTATAAGATGCTACAAATGGTGCATTTTTCCAGTTTATCTTGTCCAAGCCTCCTCTAGTAGCCCAATTATCTGCATTCCATATGCTTGAAAACACGTACATTGGCCTTTGGGCTGGAAAGAAATTGTTTGTGTGATTCGCGTTCTTGTATACCCTTATCGGTACTTGATCCACAAAAAAACTGCATTTACAAGAATGTAGTTGATTGAGTCATCATCAACTAATCTCAAATCATTTGTGTTCAACATATATATGAATCTTCTATATCCATTTCATTATGTTCAAATCCATTTCAAGAGAATCTTTATTGCCAGTCGTAATTTATTTATTTTTTGAAAAAAATTGTTACTACTATAGTATTTTGGTACCTCTTATGTAATTTGAGAAACAAAAAGTACCATCAATGGATGTAGTAAGATGGTTCAAAATCTTTTATCCTTTAACAATAGGTCTTAGATTTGGATTCTAGGGATAATGGCGGAGCCAGAATTTGTCCTAAACGATTCAAAATATAAAGAAGTAAATGTAAGAAGAAACCAAGAGTATTCAGCATCTAGGATATATACTGTAATTTTCTAGCAAAAAGGTTCAAATGAAGTATATTTTACCTCCTTGATGGATCTACTCAACGTGAATTCTGATTAATTTACTTTAATCCTTAAGCGCGCATAGGGATGAAGTACATTAACGTAGCAAACATTTTACCTCCTTAATGGATCTATCCAACACAAATTTCGATTAGTTTAATCATTGAATTTCGAATATCGAACGGTTAAACAAGAAAAAGGAAAATTAAGTTAAAGAGTGAAAAATAAGACTTACACAATTTGATGAGAGTTCCAAAGAATGGAATAAGTATGGAAGTCCAGAGTAGGATCAAACCAAAGTTGATGCCTCATTTCACGTCCACCACTGCCATTATTATACACATTTGTCTGAATAAGATAAGGCTGCCCTGTTCTGTTTCCCAAGAACTCAAAATCTATCTCATCTCTCAATGGCCCTGCCTCTACTTCTGAGCACATCTGTGCCCAACAAAAAAATTACAAAAAAATTCCAACAAAAATGCACAAAATGTTTAAGTGAACTTACATAAAATGCTGTTACAACACCAGCAGAGTCACCTCCTACTAATTTCAACTTTGTGCTGTACCAACCAAATCTATAGCTCTGTTTTGTTATGAACCCACAATCTAACATACCAAAAAACATGAAATATATTCAAATTTCAAGAAAATAAAATAAAATGCATTTTAAATTTGTAGGATTTTAATCACCTGATACTTGGTCTAAGGTAAGATACCAGATCTGTCCATCTTCAGAAGTCTTGAAATGTGTACCAGGGCAACTTTTACTGAAGTTTTCTTCAAATGCACCTTTCACTACTCCATTTGATGATGAAAAAAGGGTAAACATTACTGATAAAATAAAAAAAAGATGAGCCATGGAAGAAGCATTGCTCTCCATGGTGTTTTTGTTTTTCTTTTCTTTTGAATGAAGATAGGCTGGATGGATCCCTTAGAAATGACAACGTTTTATTAATTATACGCGGTTTGTTACCTAAGGGCAAAAACGGAAATAATTTTTTTTTACCTCGAGAGACGAAATATAAGGCTAAGGACAAAAAAGAACGAACAAAAAACTGCTTTTATTAGCAATTCTAGACGATAAAAATTCCAACTCATTTGAGAATATTTTCCTATTTGGACTAGAAATATATTTCAAAAATTGAGGACCGCCATGTTTGGTGTTCCAAAAATGGAATGTTTTTCAAAAATATCAATCCAATATGGCTTTTTTAGAAACCAAAACAATTCAATTGTACTGTTAGGATGGAGTTACTTTGTTCAAAAATTACATCTTACTTTATAGTGGTATATATAAATTTTTGGATACTCATAGAACCAACGGAGACTTGTAGCGCAGTAATAAGGATATGCTCAAAACTTACATGGTGCTCAGCTTCAAATCCTTGTTGGAATTTTTGGTTACGGCACTGATATAGTAGATTAATGCATTCTCCTAAATGTTCAAAAATGTTTTTATAATAGGGAAAATGGTCTGAAAAATACTCTAATTTTGACCGAAATTGCTGTTACGATACCAAACTTTATGGAGGACCTTTTACCCCCTGCACTATTTAATAGTGTATTTTAAAGGTATATATGTGTCCACATGGACACATTACTAGTTAAAATGATGAAATATTTATGATGTCCACGTAGACACATATATACCTTTAAAATACACTATTAAATAGTACAGGGGGTAAAAAGTTCTTTCCAAAGTTTGGCATCGTAACATCAATTTCGATCAAAGTTAAATTATTTTTTAGACCTTTTTCCCTTTATAATATTAAAAGTAATTTAAATTTGTTCTCCCTTCACTTGTTAAATCCTTACTTTTAACGTTAATTTTCTTTCTATCTATTGAGGAAAAAAGGCAACAGAAATGGGAAAGAAAATTACAAAGGTGAAAAATTAAATTCTCACTAATAAGATGAAAATTAAATTAATCAATCAACTAAACTATTAAAATTGCTCATCTATTAGATTTCGATGACTTTAACCCCAATAAATAATATTAAAAACAATTGAGATCTTATTATAGATAGATGGAGAACAAATTTCAATTATTTTATTAGTCAAAGAATATTTTTGACAATTTTTAAAATATAAATCTTTAGAGATGACGAATACTCTACTCAATATTTTTTTAATTTTAAAAGTGAGTAATTTAGGCAATAGCACACATATCCAGAAAGAGCATGCAAAATTATAAAATCCCCACGAAGAGAGTGTGAGGGTATCCATGCTGCCAATGAAGTGATTTTGGGGGCAGAAAATAAAAGTGGGGTCTAAAGTGCTTTTAATATTGCAATATGCCTCTTTTGAATGGACTTATTATATGAAAACCACCTTCGATTTGACAAACTGCATTCTCTTAACTCCTTATTACTTGATCTCCGTTCATTTTAACTGTCATTTTGTTAAAAATAATTTATGAAATATAAATGTTTAAAAGTTATTTTAAAAATCTTCAGTTTTTTAACCATTGTGTGAAGTCAAAAGGTGGCGCTACATAAAATGAGACGGAGGGAGTATTTGATTTTCTATTAATTTTAATTATTGTGCTTATTAAATAATCAAGCAAGAATAATTATTAATTTTAAAAACTAAAATATAATTAATAGCTAATCTTCATTTTATTCTTATTTAATAAATATAGTGCAGGAAAAATAATATTCAATTGAGATCAAAGAATATATAAAAATAATTTAATCACATTATTCTTTTAATTAAATACTATCTTTTAAAAATAAAATAGATCAAAGGAGAATATAATATGGAGTAGCTATACTTTCACAAAAGAAAAAAAAAAACATCACGTAGATTAATGGGGGGAAATAACCTTAAATTAAGGGGCTAATAAAGCATGGTTATTGTTAAAGTAATCATTTGACTTGTTGTGAATCTCAATATTACAGATATAGGCTTTACGTTGATTGAGATTTGAGAACACATTTTTCATTTTTTTAGGATGTAGTATCTTGTATTTCTATTCCGTACATCAACTTATTTATATGAGGAAGAGTTCGTCCTTCTTCAAAGATATAAAGTCAAATGGCCCTCCAAAATAGTAAATGTTTCAATTATTATTTATTAATCAATGAAAATATTAAAGTTTCATTGAAATCAATACTAGTGACACATTTAATTTTTTTTTGATGTCGAAGAGAAGAGAAAACAGATATGGAATTTCTTTATCAAAAAATTTCCACAACTTTGCCTAGATCTTACATCTTAAACATTTTAACCTCATACCACGTAATTAATTAATTCCTTATTAGTACTAATTAACTTGAGATGCTTCTTCGAATCAAGGGGAAGTTCAAATTTTGTAACGGGACATCTATAGGGATTTGTTCCACTATTACACAAACCCCAAAGACGGACAAGTAGGAAGAAAACAATTTCAGAAGAATGGCTCACAAACTTGAATCAAGGAAAGAAGTACTAATAATAAAGTTTGATACTATTTTCTCCATTTATATTTATATGTCACTATTTTAGATTTCACATCCTTTAAAAAATCAAATAAATTTATCATTGTACACTTATTTAGTGTCTTTTGAAGTCAAGTTTTCAATACATTAACATAAATTAGTTTACGTAATTAATTAAATTGACCGATGAACATGAATTAAACATTTAGTTTTTCTATGTTTGTCAAATTCATACTTTCAAGACTAATAATTCTTAAGAATAAAATAGAAAGAATAATATTATTTATTATATTAATTTTGTAAAAAATAATAAGCATTAGGAAACATCTATTTTTAATAAGGACATTAAAATAAAAACACAGGGAATGGTAAATTAGGGCATCAACATTTGACATTACTCAAGTGGATCTCAATAATTATATCATTAATAAACTAAGTTAAGATGATTAGGAGATTAAAATTCACTTTTAGGTTTTAAGTTTAAATCAAGCACTATATTACTCTGAAAATCGAGGATCCATCACTAATGATAAATATGGAACATACGAGTTATATTTGAGAGCAAGACAATACATGTCCCCCTCTCTCTCTCCGTATTTTCACTTTTCTCGATGCTGATTATACATGTCCCCCACGACAATAGTGGTCTAATTAATAAAAAGTATTTATTTTTTGGTTGCATTCCTTGACCCCCACCACAATGGTGATCTAAATCTAAAAAAAAAATAGTACAGTATTGATTTTTGGTTGCATTAGCCTAACTTGGCCCGTGACTGAATCTTATCGAGCATGTACAAAACAGTTAAAAATTCTTGTTGGAATTTAGTAAATCATTTAAGGGAGAAGAAAAATAACAGCCCCCTCCGTTCGCTTTAATTTTTTTGCTCATTATATATGTTCTTGTTGTTATTTGCCATTTTTAGTATACGGCAAATAGTCAAATATACCCCTAAACTATAGGAAATAGTTTAAATATACTCCTCCCGTTATACTTTTGGATTAAATATACCCTAATGACTAACATAGGACATGTGGACGGCTAAGATTAAATGAACTATTCAATTTGAAACAAATCAAATTTGGATATAACCCGTCCCGCCCGCCCCATAATTTAACCCAACCTAATTTTGACATTTGACCCAGTGAGGAAACTGAACAGAAAATCGACAAACGAATCCTTTGCTTCAGCGTACAGTATCTTGTTTCTAGACTTGCTTAATATTAACTTCAGGTTTATTTTTCTAGCGTTAACGGTATGCAGATCAGCAAACACTTGTGAAATTCTTGGTTCAGTCATGATGTTGTTGTCAACTATAGTTTGCTTGTTCATAAACACCTCAGTTAGTCAGTTAAGGGAGATTTTGAGATCAATGAACAAGTGAGCAGTCTTAAATTCTGGACAAAGAAAAACTAGGAAAATACATGTGAGATAACATCAAAAAGAGGAAGAGTGAATTCTCAACACATAACCTGAATGGTAATTTATTTTCTGAATTGATCTCCTCTTTAGTTTTTTCCCATTCTATAACATGAAACTGATTTCTCCTACCTTCGTATTCAAAGATTACCCTTCATCTGAAAGTGCTTCCACTGTCATTTGATTAGGATATCCTTAGAATCGAAATTAGCAATATGCGCCTGTTCTTTCTAAAGCAGTGGCATTTTCTCTATGTATGCATGAATTCAGAGTTTAATTAGGTCAATGTTATAAATTGGGTGGGTCCATGTTATAATTAGGTCGGGTTAAATTATTGAAGCGGGGCGGGTTATATCCGAATTTGATTTATTTTCAATTGAATAGTTCATTTAATCTTAGCCGTCCACATGTCCTCTATTAGTTATAAGGGTATATTTAGCCCAAAAGTATAACGGGAGGGATAGATTTAAACTATTTCCTATAGTGCAGGGGTATATTTGGCCTTTGCGTATATAAAGAGAAACCCCCTCAATATTTATTATTTATTCACCACATCATTTTTCAAGACCTAAGGGATAAGACTAAACACCAATTAACACGAGTATTGTGCTAAAATACTCATAGCATTAATCATTATTTCTTAAGAAGTGTAGAAAGTTTAAAGTGGACAAGTAAATGTGAATTGAGGGAGTACACTCTCCATTGAAAAAAAAGAAGATTTTTTTTTGAAATCTTATTATCTTCAATTAAAGATATGTTTAATTTATCAAAATATCTTTTGAATCTTTAGATTTTAAATATGTCATATAGGATGTTGGTATAAATAGTTACTAAATATAAAATAATAATATTTAAAAAAATAAAAATAAAACAAACAAATTAAAAGACGTATGAATTTTCAAGCCTACAATAACATCTAGCTGGGAATTTTTTATCCTGTTTGGAAAATCACGTAGCATAATGCTATCAATTTCTTGTACCATAGTTTCCCTTTTTCTTTTGCTTTGTGAATCACAAATGTCAAATATGAATTATCGGAATGAAAGTCAAGAGGCTCATTAGCCTCTCAGCTTTTAACTCATTGAAACTGGCAAGCAATTTATTGTAACATTTTAAGTAAGATTTATACACTCACATGGATTCATTGGTGACTCACGTGCTAAAGTTGTCCCCTTCTTTATCTTTTGGTGCTTTCTGAAAATTCTAATTACAAATCTGATGTCTCGGCTCTTGTCGATAATATAATTCAAAGAGAATCATACCTCAAAAACTAGTTATTAAAGTTAGGACTGAGAAGGACCTAAAATGTTCCTTAATTATTTGAATTGACACAAAATAATCCTTCGTTCATCTTTCGATCTCAAATATCCTTGACACCAATTTTTTGAATAAAAAAAGAGTAAATTTTAGGTTTAGCAAACATAAAAATCATATTTGTATGTTATAGCTATAGTTTGCATAATTGCGTTCCATAACAAACTTTATGTTTGATACGGAGCATCAGATTGTATAACTCGCTGGCAGGAGCATCAGATTTGTATAATTTCGCTGGCAGGCATCTCGTTTGTATAAAAGCACAACAATTGTATATATATATCGGTTAGATAATTGTATATATGTAACTACTATGTATATGTATCAATGATTGTGTTTGTATATCTGCATAAAATTTGAATTGGTATACAATTGAATCGAAATAAAACGTTTGTATATCAAATCTCTCTCTCTCTCGCTTTATACAACACAAATTATACATTGTAATTTGTATAATCTGTGTTGTATAAAGCGAGAAAGAGAGAAAGACAAAAGAGAAATGTGCAGGGAAAAATTTGTATTTGTATAATTATAAGTGTATAGGATAAAAATATATGTATTTGTATTTGTATATAGAGTTTTCTCTCGCTTTATACAAACACAAACACATTTTATACATTTGTGTTTGTATAAAGTGAGAGGGGCGAGGAAGAGACTGGTGAGCCAAAAAGCTGGGGAGAGTGACGAATGACAACTATTTGCTACGGGTTACAATTAAATCAAACTGTGGTTATACCATATAATTTGAATTAATATTTTGCTATTTTATTCAATTTTTCCATAAAAAATACCCTCGATATTTCCTAAAATGCCCTTAAACTATGAGATTTGGTATAATATTGTCTTCCATCCACCTTATGAGTATGAGTCGTTAGACATAAGGGTATTTTTTAGCCAAATGGTTGAGGTTAAGGGTATTTTGAAGCCGACAGGTAAATGTAGGGTAATTTTATACCAATTCAAATAGTTGAGAAACATTTTTGCCCCTTCTCCGAAATTAGAAAGCTTAATAATATAAGCCCCAAATCAACTTTCCTAAAATTGATGCAGGATTCAAAGTCTCATTACCCATACATTAACTTTGGACTCAAAATAGGCCATCCGTGCAAAAACTTCAAATGAAATTGTGCTTGTTCATAGAATTGGGCTCGTTGGCAAGCTTTTAAAAACTAGCCACCTTTTACAAATTTGACCCATAGAAAATGTACGGAAAATTCTCTGCAACTCTCTTCGCAATTGAAACTGATTCGCTGCACCATAACTGAAATGACCATTGCCTCTAGAGCTCTCTTTCTCTTCCAGAAATCAATCGCAATAGCAAGCACTCTAACAACAACACAAAAGCCCCAAAGTTGGAGAATCCAATTCAAACAAACCCAATTAGTTTCCCAAATTTCCTCTATTCTCTTGCAAAGACAAACAAATCAATGGCCTTCACTTCTCAAGAACCTCAAACTTTGTTCTTCACAATTTACTCCATCTCTCTTCCTTCAAATCCTCCACAACACCCGAACCAACCCACAAGTCTCTCTACGCTTCTTCGACTATGCCAAGAACAATTTTGGGTTCCAACCTGATGCCAAAGTTCTTTGTACACTTGTGTATATACTTCTCGGGTCCGGACTATCCAAACCCGCAAAACCCATCTTGGATTCTCTCATTCAAACATACCCACCAGCCCAAATTGTGGTTTTCTTGATTCAGTCATTGAAAGCTGGTGATATTCACATTCAGTCTTCAGTCTTGAGCTCAGTTCTTGAATGTTACTGCAATAAAGGTTTGTTCCTGGAAGCTCTTCAGGTTTATCAAATAGTTAGAGAATATGGCTATTTTGTGTCTGTTAATTGTTGTAATACATTGCTTAATTTACTACTCAGTAAGAATGATTTAAGACTGGGTTGGTGTTATTATGGTTCTATTATTCGTAATGGGGTTCAGGAGAATGTGGTTACATGGTCTTTAATTGCTCAGATGCTTTGTAAAGATGGGAAATTTGAGCAAATTGTTCCTATTCTTGATAAGGGTATATGCAGTCCTCTTATTTATAACATACTCATAGACTGCTATTCTGAAAGAGGGAATTTTGAAGCTGCATTTGGTTATTTAAATGATATGTTCAGTAAAAGTATTGATTCTACCTTTAATACTTTTAGCTCAATTCTTGATGGTGCTTGCAAATATCAAAATGCCGAAGTGATTGAATCAGTGATGAGTTCCATGGTGGAAAAAGGACATCTCCCGAAAGTTGTGTCACCTGACTATGATTCTGTGATTCGAAGGTTCTCTGATATGGGAAAAGCATATGCAGCTGAATTGTTTTTCAGGGAAGCTTATGAAAAAAGGATTAAGCTACAAGACAATACTTATGGCTCTATGCTAAGGGCATTCTCCAAGGAAGGTAAAGCTGAAGATGCTATTTGGATGTACAACATTATAGTTGAGAGAAAAATATTCATCAGTGACAAATGCTATAGTGCCTTCATGAGTGTCCTATGCAATGAAAATCCATCACTGGAAGTTAGCAGTTTGTTGAAAGACTTGATAGGAAGAGGATTCATACCTCCCGTATCTCAAGTATCTAAATTTATAGTTTCTCAATGTGAAAAGCGTCAGTGGAAAGAAGCTGAGGAGCTTCTGAATGTAATTTTTCAAAGAAGACTTCAGTTTGAATCTTTTTGTTGTTGCTCTTTGGTGCGGCACTATTGCTTTAGCAGAAGGATTGATTCTGCCATTTCTTTACATACTGAACTAGAGAGACTTGGTGTTGCTTTAGATGTAGAGACCTATGGTTTACTACTTGACAGACTGTTTAAATCAAGACGGTGTGAAGAAGCTCTAAAGATCTTCGATTACATGAGAACACATGATATGTTAAGCAGCGAAAGTTTTTCAATCATGATTAGAGGGCTATGTCAGGAACAGGAGTTTAGAAAAGCAATGAGACTGCATGATGATATGTTGAAATTGGGGTTTAAACCTGACAAAAAAGCATATAAGCGATTGATTTCTGGGTTTGGCTAAATAATACATTTTCGCCTCATTTATATTTTATCTCTTCACTTACAATACATACTGTACAGCATGGTTGCTCACCTGAGAGTAGATCTTGGTGATGCTCGCTTTCGGTAGCCATCCAATTTTTTATCTCTCTATGCACAATTTAAACAGCATACAATGAGAAATATGAATCTGTCCTTTACTTACAAAAGGTAATTTCTGTTCCTTTTCTCTTTCCCTTTTTCATTTGACTCAAAATTCTGTTCAGAAAGGATTTTCATTTATGTAATAGTCCAATTGTTTGACAGCAGAAGATTTCATACTTTTGGCTACACTTGACTGTTTATATACTGCTGTCATGGTGGACTCGTTTGTAAATTGGCAGTATTGACGATCTAAAATTTTTATGTCAGTCCTCTGCATCATCGCCTAAAGAGTTCTCGTGACAATTGCATGTTAGACTGTACATCTCCCCTAGCAGAGGTGTCACTATTCGGTTGCATTTCAGCTTTCACTCTTTCTGAAGTGATTCATACTGTCTCTTGTGATGTGTGACGCTGAGGTCAATCAACTTAAACATCTGAGTGTAATTCTAGTGGTATTTGAAGTTGTCTCTGGGCTTCCTATTAATTGGAGAAAAGTTACTTGTATCCAGTCAATGAAGTGACTAATTGCTGCATTCTAACTGCTACCTTAGGCTGCAAAGTTGGTACCTTACCAACACTCGTCTTGGATTGTGATTGGGGGCTAAGTATAAAGTTGATAGCATCTGGGAAGGAGTGATGAAATGTGAGAAAAGGTTAGCCAGGTGGAAGAAGCAATATCTTTCTGATTAATAGCGTGTTGGATTCATGTCACTCATATGTGATGACTCTGTTTTCAGATGGTGTATCATTACTGGAGGACATTAGATCTCTGTGGCCTCTAATACTGGGATCAAGGTGGGCAACAGCAGAAAAGTTTCTTTGTGGAAAGGACACAGACCTTTGCAAGTTGTGTTTTCAGATTTATTCACATTGCCTTCAAAAGCTGCATCTACAGAGTAAATGGATTTGGGATATCAACCTCTGAGTAAATTTCAAGTCTGTTGATTTTTTCAATCATTTGAACTCATATCAGCAGCTAACTAATACTGAAGACAACATAGCATGGATTTCTAGCAAGAAGGGTCTATTCACAGTGAAATCATTCTACAGAAAATTAACAAAAGAGAAGTTACCAGTCATTGGCCATTGAAACAGATGTTGAGATCCAATGTTCCATTCCATGTGGTTTTCTTTACATGGATTGAAGCTTGTGAGAATATCCAAAAAGAGGTTTTGAGCTATGCAGCAAGTGAGAGCATCTGCCACTTGCTTTTGACCTGTGGTTTACAATTGGTCATACAAAGATCAACAAATGATTTACTGAGGTGCTAAGCACAGAAAAGACCTAAGTAAGGAAGAGAAAAGACTATACTTGCTGGACTGAAGAAATAAAATACATATGTTTTGAAGATTCTGCAAGCTCCGCCAACAAGATAAACTGTAATTGTGTATGTTTTTGTTTTGCTTATGTTAGACTCAAACATCTTTTCTTATTTATTAGTTCACATTTAGTAAAGTCGATTATTGACCTAAATAATGTATCTCTAGTCCCACTCAAATCTTAAGGATGATATTCGCAAATAATCACTTTTTATACGTTAATCAAGCTTTAAATAATGTTTCTAAATTACCAAAAAAGCTTAATCCGCTTTTTAATATTGATAAATTTTCAATAAAAATTCCTAAAAAGTCTTTATTAAATATCGGAGGTTGAACATTATTCAGTTTATTCATACTTTTTCACTTTAGAAACATTTAGTTCCTAATTTACTCTTATTACTAACTAGTCATTTCTCAATGCATTTTTCCAAACATTGAATGTTATATATTAGTAAAATTTCCTTCTTTCTTGGTGGAGTGTGTCAAATCAATATTGACCAAGTATAATGAATGAGTACTCCCAAATGGGTCACCGCCCAATTTTCTTTACCCGACCCAAATCAAACCACATGCCCATCGGCCCATCCATTTCTTGCCCTTCCAAATCCAACACAAAAAACCTTTTTGACATTTCTGCTTCATGCATGCATGAAACCTGGAAATCTTTCATCAAATCAATAATGGCGATCTCTACAATTCTATCTTGTTTTCTACTCATTACTATCCTGTTTCTCCTCTCACCCATCATTACCCTTTCCAATTCTTCCAATGATTTACTCTCCGAGCTGATACATCTCCGATCAAAATCTCCCCTCGGTCTGATCCACCTCAAAGACCCCCTTCTCCAACGCATCCTCTCAATTCCTTCACCTAAACCATTCTCATCCCTCATATTCTTCGACGCCAGACAACTCCACTCTAAACCCGATAACTCAATCCCTAGTATCAAATATGAATTCTCCCTTCTCTCCTCTTCTTTCCTCACCAACAACCCCCAAAACAACACTCAGATTTTCTTCTTCATCATAGAATTTCAAGAATCAAAGTCTTCCTTCGAGCTTTTTGATGTTCAATCTTTACCCCATATTCGGTTAATACCCATTTATGTGACGGACGTTAAAACTGATTGTATTAAAATGGATGCTTCTGGTTTTTCTATGGGAGCTGACTCGATGAAGGAGTTTGTGGAGATGAATTCGAATGTTAATTTGGGTCCAATTCATGCGCCCCCAGTTATTCCGAAGAAAATGATGATGATTATTGGTGCTGGGTTTTTGATTTGGAGTCCATTTTTGGTGAAAAAGTTTGTTATTGGAAACACCCTTTTGCAGAATAAGTATATATGGATGGTTGCATCGATTCTAGTGTACTTCTTCAGTGTTTCAGGGACAATGTATACTATAATTAGGAAAGCACCTCTGTTTTTGATTGATAGAAATGATCCAGGGAAGTATCATATCTTTTACCAAGGATCAGGGATGCAGTTAGGAGCTGAAGGTTTTGCTGTTGGATTCTTGTACACGATTGTTGGATTGTTGTTGGCACTAATGACTCATATTTTGGTTCATCTGAAGAACAGGGGAACACAGAGTTTGCTCATGGCTTTGGGGCTCTTCGTTTCGTTTTGGGCGGTAAAGAGGGTGATTTACTTAAATAATTGGAAGACTGGCTATGGTGTTCATGCTTATTGGCCTTCAGGTTGGATGTGATAGCAATGTAGTTTGTCTGGCTTTTATTCTCTTAGGTAAGAGTTTTGTAGTTTAAACTACATGTGAGCTGATTCCAATTCAACTAAAAGTAGTTGACAGAAAAGTTTCAGCTTTTACATTTTAGATTTATCGAGCTTTTTATCTTGTAGTGAAGCATTTGTTTGCCGGTTAAAAATTTCTTACCAATAATTCTTCACTTTATATCTCTCAAACTTTACTGACTTTTTTAGTTACCTACATGATCATTAATCTTGTGCCATTTCTGTTATCACCACTTGTTAGCTTCTATCTAATTGTCTAATATGTGAATTGTTTGTTATACGTCAGGCAAGATGAGGGAAATTATTGTGTAAACAGTCAGAGATTAGATATTGGTGTTGCCTCCCCTGAGAAATGAGAGGGCCTCCATAAATTTAAATTGTATTTTTAACAAATATTAGCATCAATAGAGGAATATTTACCTTCCAACCACCAATACAAGTAATGCTGCGGCGATTGAAGGTTTTCATGGTTTGGGGCATTAATAGGACAACAAAAGGTTAAGGTTTTGGTTAGAATTACGAAAAAAGAGGTTTTGGGCTCTAAACTATGTATTCCAGTTGTTAACCCCATGCTTTTGTTATTTGATTTATGTTGCTATCTGCAAAAGGTATCTTCCTTTCCATGTTTGTAAAGGAAGTAGTTTTCCTTTTTTTGAAGACACTTGGATATGGTCTATATGGAAACTAAAGGAAATTATTTAGGTAATTTTGCAGCTTTGTATTTTCAATGAACACAATGATCTTTCATTAAAGGAGTAAATTACTAGTGAAGAAGGAAAAGATGAAAAAGGGTTGCACTTTGATGTAGTGCTTTTGTATTATCTCAATTCAAGTTATACAGCCTATGGAAGTTCTGCGGCAATTTTTCTTTCTGTTAATGGATTTTACGCAGAGGAATGATTGTTTTCTTGTGTTTATCAATAATGATAGATGGTTTTCTTGGGTGAGTGAAGAGTCAAGGAGGGGGGAGAAGTTGGCGATGGACAGTTTTCTTGGTGCAGTTGAAAATAAAACAAGTGGAAAAGAATTATCTTAGTATTGAATGGATTCCTCTTGTTTGGTTGTTTTCTTGTCGCATGTTTGATTATCTTGATGGTGCAAATATATGTAACTGTTACCATGTTCTATTAATACATGTTTAATGGAGGAAACATATGATGAAGTCCCAATTATAACTCATACTAAAGTCATGTTTTTTCCTCTTTTCCTTTCCAAAAAAAGAAGTTATGTCTTTGAAAAACCCCTGAAGGAAGATTTAAGTTATTTCATTGTCTTTTAACCATGAAATTTTTCCTATTTATGGGTTGAAAATAACAGTCCGAATGAAAGAATCCATTGGAGTGTGATCATGCAATTAACTAGCTATAGTCCCCTCGAAATAACTGTCCACTGGTCCACCTCTTGCCACCACCAGATACGATAGCTTATCGATAGTTCATCTTAAGACGCTAGGGAACGAATGAACATTAGTTTGTTTCAAAATCCACCATCTTACCTTCATTTAAACAGTCTTTTATTACCAGTTATGAAACCTCGCTGATCATATAAGATTATCAGTATTCTTTTCCACTTCTTTTATACTTAGCCACAATATTTATGCTATTGTTTCAGAGAGACTGTTCCAAGTATAATGGAGTAATTATTTTTCTTGAATGCAGAAATATAAGGTATTTTGATGCTTATTTTTGGAGAAACGTTGCTTAAGAACTACTCTACCATCAAGAGAGAGATGCCATGTTATATTGTTAAGTTTGATCTTGCCTATGCTAATTAAGCACTTGAGGTCCACCTTATGTTTTTTTCTTTTTGTTGCATAAAAGTGGAAGTGGGTGACAATTGTTTTTCACTTTTTAGATATAAAGTTGTTCACTTGTTCTGCAAAGAATATATTCCTTCCCCTTCCTTCAGTTACATATTATTTTCTTACATACGCGTTGAATCTTGAAAACACTATGTGCAGTCAAAAAAACATTAAAGATCAAGAAAAAAGAATTGTTGGCTGATGGTCGGTTTGCTTCAGCAGATCTTGCTGAGCTTTTTTGTTTTGTTTTTTTAACAGCCCCTTCTTTCCTTTCCTTCGTTGAGTTATAAAGGTACATAAGAATTTGAATTTTTTAAGCCTTTTCCTGTTCTTTATTTCCATGAACTTGCGTATCCATGCAGCAGCCTAGATTCCCTTTTTTACATTTTGCTTTTTCCTATATATAATCTTTCCTTGATAGCCAAACCATTTACTTTCATATATTCTATTCTCTCAAGCCTTGCCCTCTTTGTGCTTGAAATACTATTTAAGACATCAATCGGAAGTGAGTTGAGAATTTTGAAAGGGGACATGGAAGAACAAACAGAAATAGTAGGAAGGGCATTTGTGGATCACTACTACAATCTTTTCGACAATGATCGATCATCAATTGGTACTCTGTATCAACCAAGCTCCATGTTCTCATTTGAGGGCCAAAAGTTGCTCGGAAATGAAGATATCTCTGCTAAGCTTAATGCCTTGCCTTTTGGACAATGCCGCCATGTGATTAGCACCATTGATTCTCAACCTTCGTCATTTTCTGGAGGGATCATAGTCTTTGTCAGTGGAAGCATTCAACTACTTGGAGAGGACCATCCACTGAGGTTTAGTCAGGTCTCTGTTTCTCTCTTTCCTCCATATATGTGGTTTAAGTGTATGCTTTTATATTTGTTGTGTGTTCGAACAAAGTCACACACCGGAAGTTGATAAGAAAAAGAAGTAACAAAATTAATGTTGTGAAGGTCTTTTAGAGGAAACCGTGCAGGCTTGGCTCAAAATGGTCGGTATGACACAATGCTAAGAGTGTCTTTGGGCTGACTAAGTCCAAATGTCTTGTAGAAGTAAGTTTAAACGTCTTTTTTGTAATTGCATTATTGCAGATGTTTCACTTGATCCCAACTATGGAAGGAAGCTTCTTTGTGCAGAATGACATATTTCGCCTCAACTATGGCTAGTTTAGCTAGCGTTCATGTGGCGAAAATGTTGATCAAGAGAAAGAAAAAACAGTGTTTATTTGAGTGGAAATGTGGAAGAGAGAAAATTATTGGTGATGTAAGTTGATTTGATTGTGATCTTGCCTTAACGAAGGAAATAGGAGCATCACATTATTTGATTTACTAATTGCTTTGTAATACTGGGTAACATTAATTCAATTTGCAATCACTAGTACCATCAAGTCTAAATAATTTAATTTATACCTTCGTATTGTGGCATGGTTCAGTCATCAGTACCACAAATATTATTATCACATAACAAGCATACAAAAAGCAACCAAAACATACTAAAACTTCACTAGCAATACATGGCAGACATATTTTTAATCAAACAAGTTTCTCACAACCCTTCAGTGTAAGCGACACCAGTAGATTTTAACCATGCTGCTCCTTGAATGAGCTGACCCACAGTGAATTTCGCGGCCTCTGATGTAGTTAAGGCTTTATGATAACCAGGCCAGTTCACTCTCTTACTAATTCCAGCACCAGCTCCTTTGTTCATGTACTCACCATAATACAATGTTTTCAATGCAAAATCACCGTCCCATTCTGACCAACCTGCTGGATCAATATGGTCTCCAATATTGGACTGCATGTACACTGTCCGCGAATACGCTTTCCATGGTCTGCCCAAATATGTCTTCACGGACCCTTTCACTGGTGCAAGGTCCGAGCTAGGAATAATGTCACAATTCTGGATTGAAGTTCCTGTAACTTGGTTTGGATCTTCACGACCTTGAGCCGTAACCATGTTTTTCTGTCCGCTCATGGGCTTTCGGGCTGCGAGTTTAGAGTTTTGGAACACAACTGCTGCGTTACCAAAAATGAAATCGACAGTACCAGTAATGTAACAATCTCTGTAGAATTGACGGAGAGTGTGGGTATAGAGAGTGTCTTGGAATGCGTCCATTTTGCAACGGTTGATAACGGATTGATCTGCTCCAACACGAAGGGCCACTGCTTGGTGCTTTTGTGGCCCAGCTGTGTTTTGGAATTGTAGATCTTGGGCTATGAATCCATCCCCAACAGCGGCTGCATTTAAAAATAAATTAGGCAACCAAAGTAAACAAGTTCATCAATTTTTCAAACACACATGTTTATGTCAAAATCCAAGCCTCTTTGTTAGACCAAAGTCAAAAGAGTATAGTGGGAAATGAGATACTATTTACCAACAGTTGCAGATTTGAAAGTTGTTGAGCCATCAATAACATTCAAGTTGCCAGTGATAATAGTTGCATCCATGCCATCACCCACAAGCATAATATTCTTCTTCTTTTTCCCAATCTCAACATTTTCTTTATAAATTCCTTTTTTCACATAAATAACATATCGAGTCTTACTATTATCTGGAGCAGACGTAACTGCTTCCAGTACAGTCTTGTATTTTCCACTACCATCTTTAGCCACTACAACATTGGCTGCTATAGCATTAGCAGAAAGTTGCAAAAGCTTTCTATCGTTAGCACTAACCCATGAGGGCAATCCATCATCACTAACTGTTGGTAAATTATTATTATTCTTTGGTGGTGCAATTGCAACCATCAAGGCCAAGGAAGTCCTTGCTCTTGCTACTAAATCATTCAACATAGGCTCCATAATAGACCGGGCCTGGCCATTTAGCCCATCTATGCAAGTAACATGGTTGGTGAGAATGCTACTTAGCCATGAATGAACATCAAAATGGGCTTGGGCCGATAGGTTCCCAAGTCCCATCATGGAGTCCATTAATCTATCCCTTGATAAATCCATCAACTCTAGACAATCTGCTAGAGCTGCTTGTTCCTGACCATTATTGATCCGACCATTCACATTGCTCGCCAAATGGATCGTCTCGTGGATTTTTAAGGACGATTTATGCAAAACCATCTGTAATAAATCAAGTGTTTTTGTATCCATCACACCAGCAGGTGCAACCTCAGACAGCATGGCTAAGCAAGATGGCTGATCATGGGCCGTATCACAAACACGGGTTGTCAAGGAAATTGATGGGTTATTTCCATTGATTGAAATGAATCCAACTGAGCCCACAATAACAGCTAAAGAGA